CGAAAGCGAAGAGCAATGAAGAAGGGACAAAATGAACCAGAAGGACTGCCAGGAGACTTCATACTGCTGCCGAGTGGAAGCCCGCAGGTGGGAAACAAGCAAGGAAGCCACCTGAACACCATAGAGATGGTGATGAACACAAGTAAAAAATACCAAACGAGAAGACTCGCCGAGAAGAGCAAACCAGTCTCGTACCAGACTGGGCCGATCTCCTGAAAGAGGTGGAGCCGCGGAAAAACCTCCGGGTTCGGACACCGGGCAAGCAGCGCCTGAACCCATGGCTGGGCCGGCCACCATGGGGCCAAGAGGACTACTCGCCCCTGGCAAGTTTCCAAGCAAGCCAGGACCTGGAACAACAGCTGAACCGGGGAAAAGAGATACAGAAACCCCCACCTTGACCAGTCCTACCGAAAGGCATCGATCCCGACAACCTCGCAGTCGGGAAAGGGCGCCACATATACCGGAAGACACCTCGACCACGCCGACGCCAAGAGGTCCACCTCTGGGCACCCGAATGTCCGGCAGAGCCAACTGAATGAGATGGCATTGATCATCCATTCCGTGGACAGGGGAACGAGCCGGGACAGGCCGTCTGCCAGGACATTAGATACCACCTGGACGTGAACCACCAGGAGAGCCAAACCCCGAGAACTCAGCAAACGAGTCACCCAAAGTGACCAACCCCAAAGAGCCAAGGACTGCATCGAACCCCCTCGGTTCAGGCAATGAACCACCAGGAAGTAGTCCGAATGGAGCCGGAGCGTTGATCCGCAGGCGACTCGAACCCTCCGAAGAGCAAACCACACCGCCGCGATCTCCTGCACTGTGCTGTAGACGTAACGAAAGGATGGACCCCACCACCCCTGGCCAGCCTGGTGAGCACTGTTCACAAAGCCCCAGCCGAGAGACGACACGTCCATGAACACATCGAGCGAGGGCTAGGGAAGGTGCAAAGGCACAGAACCCCGAAAAACCTGAAGAGGAAGCCGGCGACGCAGCAGCTGACATAAGGCCCCAGGGGGACGAACCCAGCAATCACGAGAGAGGCGGAAGGGATGTCCCCGAAAGAACCAGAACAGCCGACAAAGCCAAACCCGACCCGGCGGGAAGACCAACATCACAAAGTTCAGGCTCCCGCACAGACCCTCGAGCAACCGCCGGGTGACCCGGGAGCCCCCCAGAAACAAGCACAGGCGGGACTGCAGCCAAAGGAGAGACGCTGGAGGAAGAGACAAGGAAGCGGTTACACAAGACCCAGCCAGGACCGAACCTTGGAGGGAACCAGATGGGACTTCTTCCAGTTCACCAGGAACCCAAATCCGGCGAGCTGGGAAAGCACCAAATCCCTGGAGAGCAGCCACGCAAACTGACTGGGAGCCCAAAGCAGCCAGTCTTCGAGGTAAGCCAACAGCCGAACACCTAACAGACGCAGACGGGCCACCACAACCCAGGTAAGGCGTGTGAACACGCATGGTGCCAGATTCAACCCGAAAGGGAGACAATGAAAGTGGTAACTCTGATACCCCACAACAAAACTGAGCCAGTCCCGGAACTCCAGATGAATAGGGATGTGCCAATGCATGTCCTTTATGTCCATATACACCATCCAAGCACCCGGCTCCAACAGAAGCCGGACCTGGGACAGAGTGGTCATCCAAAACGAGGGGCAAGAAACCCAAGAGTACAGACGGGACAAGTCCAGAATGAACTGCAGATCCGAACAGTCCCGTTTCGGAACTGGGAATAGGTGGGAAACCCACTTAAGAGATGTCGTCCTTTCGACCATGCCCAAGGCACCCACTCCAAGATGATCCGACAGAGGCAGGAGAGGAAGCCTGCCCCGTCAGCCCCAAACCCCCCAAAGGAGGAGGAGCCACCTAAAGTCACCGCAGACCGAGAGAAACGACCCGAAAAGCCCACAAATATTGAGGCCAGGCATGAGCGAATAGAGCAAGCGTCCTCCCCCCACCGCCCCGTCAATGGGGCGAACTGCGAAAGGGCCGCCACCCCGTACGAGAACCCACCTGTGCGCAGAGCGAACACCGTGCCAACCAGGCACAGGAGGGACTACAGGCGGCACCAGCACTGAACCCGTCACCTGTGGCCGACCCCGATGAACGGAACCGCGAGCCCAGGCACGACCCCTGCCGGGAAGGACCCCCCAGTTTCCTCGGAGAACCAACAATGCAGACATAGGGCGGCAAGTGGAAGAAGCCGCCTGAATATAATGCTCAATAGCAGAGGCCTCAAAACCAGAGGACAAAAGGGAGAAAACAACCTAAGAACCAGGGCCCAAGCAGATTCCAAGGAAGAAGCGAGTACAGGTTGTCGACACATGAAACACGCAGCGAAAAACCGTAGTAACACCTCTCGCAGGATCTGCACAAACAGCTTCAAAAGGGCAGACGACGCACGAACAGCCGAGACCAAGGCGCCAGACCCAAGAACGGCCCCAAGCACCTCTACATCCTCCGCAAGTCAATCGAAGAGAGCTCCAGGAGGGAAAAGAAATACAGGACTGAAGCCAAAAAGCCATGAGCGCGTAAGTCCTCAGCCACAAGCGCAGCTGACAGGGAAGGAACCTACACATGAAGCTGAACCGCCCCAATATCTCGCAAAAGAACAGGAGCAAAAAGGCACTCATTAAGATGCGCAAAATCGCCCCCCAGGTAAACCTGGACCACCGTCAACGCCTCACGCCAATCAAACGTGCGGGTCCGACAGAACAAGTCCCAAGTATCCAACGAAAACAAGGGGCAGTCTGCAAACCAGGATGACCTGGAACCTCATAACGCACCCAGTAAGGACACGGAGATCCAAACCTGAACGAAGAAGGATCCATTATGGAGTCATACTCCGGGTCATGTAAGAGGTAAGCCGTAATGGCCGACCGCACCTCAGGCGCCAAGATGCGGTAAGTTGAATACCTCAGGAAAGATGGAACCGAAGAATTCACAGGGACACGGAACTGAACCCGGGGAGGAGAAGAACCCAAATGCAAATCGTACGCAAAGGGGGAAAAGAAAACCTCATTCCTTGCAACAGTAAGCCCCGCTCATAAGGATAGAAAATCCAGGTGGGGTCTAACGGAGCCCAAGGCCCCCAAATCAGCTCCTCCCCAACCCCGGGAACCTCCACTCCAGGCTCCAGGGGCCGAGCCGTCCTCCAAAAGCCCAGCCTCACAAGAAAAAGGTGGGGCAGCTGAAAGAGTCGGAAAGGAAGGGGCCCACTGGTCAGACCCTGAAGCATCGTTTGGAGGAACAGACTCGAATGCCTCCACAGTCACCCCAGACAGAGCATCCCCCGAAACTGCCCGAGTCTCAGAAACCTCCAAACCCTGCCGCGACCCCAAAACCCTAAGACACTTAGGGGCTGGAAGCAGGGAAGGGGGGGAACAGAATGAACCACCGAAGGGGAAGAATGAGGGGGGGCGTGGACAGAACCAAGGCCGAAGCGACCAACACCCCCAAGTCCGAGTCCCTATAGGCAAAGCGGGGCAGCCTCGGGTCGTCCAGGGAAGAGACAACCCGAGTGCATTGCAATAAATTAAACCTACCCTGCAACGTACATGCTGCCTGCACTCGAAGATAATCATCATCAGTCTGGGTGAATTGAATCACGAACAAACAACAGAGCTCGTAGGACTCAGCGTCGAATGTGTTACCGACCCAACAGGCAGCATGACGGAGGCAAAAACAAAGAGTGTCGGAGACAAGGGGACAGAGCAACCCTAAAACTCGCACAAAGTGAGAGGTGATGCAAGGGTCTCCTTCATTGAACCCGAGAACCCACGCGGGGTTTTCCAGGGCCTCTAGACTGGGTCTGCTAAGGGTTATCGCAGGCAGGGCACTGCTAACCGGTGCCCCAAACTACCAAGCAAACTGTTAAAATCTGAACCCACGGAATGTGTCCACTCACGAGGGCGAAGCAAGGGGTGCCACCACACAAAACGACCTTAATATAAGGGGGAGGGAGAACACAAGGCAAACTCCCCCCACCCCCCTACTAGGCAAAAACAACAAGAAAAGAAAAACCACGCAAATGGACAACGTACCCAGAGGGAACAGAGCCGGCCGCTGTTACTGGTGAAAACTAGCTATGCAGTATCTCGCGCCCCACTAGTGCAATAACTACCACTTACCCCAAGGCAAACAAGGGAGGAAAACCCCACAAACTCGGGGCGGCCAAATGCCAAGCAGAGAAAGGCCAACAGAGGTAGACCAAAGCAACTTGTGGAAGGGAACCCCAAGCCCCAAGGGCGGTATTTACAGGGCACTCAGGGAAGGTGCCCTAAGCACATGCAGCACGAGTACCTGAGAATATTACTCCCAGCTCACAGGACCACTGTAAGAGCAGCACTGAAAACAATGAACAGCAGTGAAAGAAGACTGGAGCTGGAGCCACACGACCATGCACGATTCCATCAGCCGAGGAACTGGGGTGGGGATTGCCGGCACGGGGGTCTGGGGTGCCCCCTTTCCCCTCCCGGGAAGGGGGGGAGCTGCAGAGACATGCGGCGTGGCTCATGTGACATCATGCTTGTTTGCTCGTTTTTCTTTTGGGGGAGTTCTGTCCACTCGTTTGACAATTTTTGTTGTTAACCAGAATAGGGGTTTGTTTTGTGGATACCTTTCTGGGTGCCTATCCCGGTCGATGGCAGGTATAGAATGCTCCAAATCACATGTGCATTCTATGGGCCATTGTGCCTTGTGTCTCTGTGAGGGGGGGCAAAGTTCTGGCTCATGGTCCCCGGTAGGCCTAGAACTCCATCCACATCGACTGATGCAAAATAGTTAGGGTATCCATATAAGCCATGGATAGCTCCGGAGAGCCGTAGGGGCTCCCCCCAGAAATGTGTTGTAAAACATCTTGAATTATAGTGAGTACTGTATAATATTAAATACTATAACAGATGATATTGTTTATTGTATTAGTAAACATTATTTTTAATACTACAAGTTTTAAGACTAATAAATTCCACACAGGAAAAGGATACAAACCTTTTGGTGCAGCAAGGTTGGGCTTCTGGACATAAACATAGACTGAAGTATTAGAAGACTGCCCATTGCTATCAGCAACACGTAGTATAAACTGATAGTGCCCTTCCTCCAGATTACTTAGATGCAAGAATGGAGTTCTTGTGTCCTGCAGGACAAAAAAATAAAAAATAAAAAACAATAAAAAAAACAGCATTCAATGTAATGACACTAATTACTGGGTGAGCCCTGGAGACTCCCTGAAGTTATTACACTGATCCAGTGCCATACTACTAGGTGCCATCAGTCAAAGAGTTCTAATTGGCCTACGGGGAACCATGAGCCAGAAACTGGTTCCTTTAGAGGGCAACAGGGAGTGGTGGTCCTATGAAAACCTTACATTTAAAGTTATTCATGTCTGCCACCACCAGAGAAGTATTCAGAAAGTCAGTAAAACAAAATAGACCACTGCATGGCCAGAAAAAGAGACCACAACCACAAAAGTGTCAAAAGAACTCTCCCAACAATGTACACAAACTATCAAAAATTCATGAAACCAGCATGTGCTACAATGAACCAACTCCCAACCCCCCCATTCATTTAAGGAAAGGGAGGGAGGCAGGCAGGGCCAGCTGGCTGCCTCCACTGCCAGTTCTTATGGTCACCCAGAAATTGTCATTTAATTACATTCAATGCTGGTTTTCTGGTAGGAGCCCCCCTTGAGGCTCCCTGAAGGTAACTACCCACAGAGAAGGAAAAAAAGCGCACTTACCAGGGAGAAGGAAGCACCACAGGGAAAGACTAACAAAAGAGACCAACGGCCATGAACCACTACCCAAAGCCACACAAAGCCGCAGAAGACCAGGAACACCTAAAACACACCCAGCTGATAGAACCCTGTGCAACCACCAAACCCCCACACATGAAAAATGGCCCAAGAATGAGGAGCAAAGAGCACCAAAATCAAGAGCACCAAAGAGCCTACAGAGACACATCAAGGGCACATGGGTAGATCGAACACTGGCTAAAGCATAAGACTCTATGAACAACCTAGTGCACATGAGCTCCATAGAAACCAGAGCAAACCGCAGAGATCATTGAAAGAGAACCGGTGGACACCAAGGCTGCAACAGAAAACCGCCACCTGACACAGCACACGATGCATGCCCAGCAGAACAACCAAGCATCCACCACCAGAAGGCCCCACTGGAAGCCAATCGACTCATCCCTAGCCAGAAAAGAAAGAGCCAGCAACAACCAACAAAGTGCCCCCAAGGGCCAAAAGAACAAACTTCCTAACACCAAAGGCACTCAAAAAACTCCACCCCCAGGCAACCAGAAGCTGGAAAAAGAAAAGAACGCTCGCTGAAATAAGCCAAGACCAAAGGGGCCACCAGGAGGACGCAGGTGGGACACCTTTAACAAGCCCCTTGATCACCACAGAGAAGGTGATCCCCATGTATCAAAATACCAGATGCAAAGATGAGAGGGAAAGGTCTGACCAGCAAAGTGCAACACCAGGCCAACCCTCTGAAAATGCCTAGGTCAGGCACCAAGCAAGCGGTGCCAGACACCAAGCAAGCAGTGCCAGGGAACGGTGCCACGCAAGGAGGTAGACATCGAGACCATGCCATCACGGAGAGGTCAAACCAGGAAGTAACCAGGACAGACCGACAATTAGGACGTTGGACACATCCTACACATGAACAGCACGGAAGCCACCCTGAGAACCCAGCACAGATGAGCTACTTGAAACGACCAAAACCAAAAAGAGAAGGACTGAAGAGACCCTCTGCAGTGAACAAGAAACCATGGGAAAACAGCCCGAATGGAGCCAGATCACTGAGCTTGTTAGAACATGAATTTACCACAGCACCTGCCGCATGGCAACACCCGAACCGTACAGTTTGCCCAACAAAGGGAGGTGGCCAATGACCTAGGCTGGACTGGTGAGTGCTGGACGCAAAACCCCAACTGGGAGCCAAAGTGTCCGGGTAGACATAGAGGGAGGGCAGAGGAAAGCGCCATGGAAACAAAGCTCGAAAAACCCGAAAGGGAAGCCAGCTACTGCTGGTGCAGGGCCCCCTAGAGTCCACACCCAGCAATCGCAAGAGGCAAAAGGGGCTGTCTCGAAAAACCAAAACAACCTTAGAAGCTAAACCTTGCTAAAAAGACTAGAAGGGCAAAGTACAGGCCCCATGACAACTGCCTGAGCAAATGCAGAAGATCCCGACAACCGCAGAGTATCCCAGCTCCCCCTCAACACCAAAAAATGGCAGAGCTGCCATGGAGTAAGACCATTGGAGGCAGAAACAGTAATACTAACCTAGAGTCCCACACCAGGCTCAACCAGATTTGAACCAAGGGTGAAACCAACTGGAATTATCCCCAGCCCACCAGGAACCCAAACCCAGTGAGCCAGGAAAGAACCAGATCCCTGGCTAGCAGACAAGCGGACTGGCTGGGAGCTCACAACAGCCCATCGTTGAGGTAGGCCAACACCCAAACACCTAATAACTGAAGAAGGACCACCACGACCCAAGGCAAATGCAGAAAAATGCGAGGTGTGAGATGCAAACCAAATGGGATAACCTGAAAGAGGAAAGCATACCATCTCACCACAAAACTGAACCAATCTCTGAACCTCAGGTGGATGGGGATACGCTAATATGCATCCCGGAGGTCCAGAAATCTTCCAAGCATCCAGGTCGATAACGAGATGGACCTGGGACAAAGAAGTCTCCCAAAAGGGGGGGGGCAAGGGATGAATTTCAAGCTGGAAAGGTTGAGAAAGAACTGGAGAGGGGGTGCAAAGCAACATGGCAACGTTGCACACAGCATCTCTCCTACAAACATTCACGATACCTCTGAGTGTTTTAAGAGACCACTGTTACATGGCACGCATTTAAAACAAGATGGTCTCCCAGTCTTAGATTAGGATCCAAAGGAAGTTTTCCTGGACAGTAAACAGCACAGTAAGGCAAAGAGATTAGAAGTGAAATGCCACCAGCATCAAGAGCTAAACAGAGACCATCCTGACCCCACATAGCCTGAGTATCAACATCCTCCGTTCAACCAAGGTAGGACAAGTTCTCCTGGTTTGCAAACGTCCAACATTGCCTTTGATGATGATACATCCAAAGATAGGAGTGTTTCTGGAAATAGCAGGGCTCAAAGAATCCACTATCATGCCATTCCCAAGATATTAAAGATCAAAGTGCATGATATCAGACCTAATAAACACAGGAACTTAATATCAGCGCACCACAAACACAGTGAGGAACGAGAATTTTCAGACATTACCGACATCTTTGGATACAAAGTACGGTGCTACAAACCACTAGGTGACCGATTAGCAAAATATGTAATTTGACATGTTGCAAGCATTAGTGCAGACGACATCAAGGTACAACTTCAGGCAGATAACATTCAAATCTTCGGAGTCAAAAAATTTATGAGTAGGACAAACGAAGAACTGAGCGATACAGGCACTGCCCTACTTACTTTTCTAGACTACTTTCTCCGTGATCGGGTTTGGATTAACGGCTTAATCCATAAACTAGAGGTGTATATACCACATCCCACTCAGTGCTTTACATGTAAAGGTTATAACTATACCTCGAAAAGCGGCACCGAAGACATCAAATGTGGGAAATGCTCTGGTCCCCATTACACACATGCGTGTGCATCAGATATATTCACCTGCTCAAACTGGTGGTGATCATGACATTACATTCAAACAATGTCCTTCATACATAGAGGCAAAAGCTAAGCCTCTCCCCATCAACAACCTGCAACAGTATTGCAATGAAACAACTCAGTCCATCAACCACTACATCACACTCAACCACAACCTTTGCTTGTATCTGATGTCTATCACTGACCATCCTGTACCCCCAGAGTCCAATCCTTTCCAACAAAACGTACAACTGAGTCCCGATCTTGTTGAAACACTTGTCACTCACATTGAAAATGCACTAGAAAAGATGCTGAACCGACTCCTAACTAAATTCTTTACACAAGTAATCCAACCCATCCTCGAGGCAGACCCAACACACACCCCATCCACATCTACAGACAATGACATCTGACCTAACTACTATTGCTGTAACACAAACGCAGCTACCATTGCTGTACACAAATCATTTGAACTGATGCTGGACAAACTCCTAAATAACTACTAAGCACGCCTTACCCAAGTCACTCTCCAGGTTGACTTGCCACAAACCACAACCACTGGCATTAAGAGTAAGAAATCCCCAGCTGTACAAACCTCACAGCAACCTGGCACTTCCCCACACACACACACACACACTCCACACCACACACACACTCCACACCACACACACACTCCCATGGCACATCCTCCAACCACTCCCAGATATTTAACTTGCAATACTACTGTCACGTCAAAGAAGATGCAATCACATCCCAGACATAAAGATCCAAAATACGACAACATAACATAACATAACTTATTTCCAGCTAACCTACCCCAACCTAACCTTATACACACTAACCCCACATTACTTAATTTACTTTAACTTACCCTAACCTATCTGAATTGCAACTAACTCCCAAACATACTTCGACTCACAAACTCAGTCTCTTGACTATTCCACTCATTTTCCATAGAACTGCAACACTTAGCTACCATCAACACAAATCTTCATCTTCGCTATCTTGAGTCCATTTCCACTCATATGTTTTTGTCCCCCCCACCACCACATAAACACAAGGCAAAATCAGTAGCCACTGCCAACAAAAAACTGAGAAACCACTACTTCAAGAAACAAAAGTGAAGAAAAGGGAGAAGTAGAAGCAAGAGCCAGAGCCCACGCCGAATCCAAAACAGGAACAGCATGACTCACTGACACACAAGATGGAAGGAGAAACAAGGAGACCACCTCCCGGAAGACCAGAACATACAGCATAAGGAGGCTGACGAAAGAGGAGGCCCCAAAAAGATCACAACAGAAGTGCGACCGGGCACGAAGGTCGTCTGCAACCAAAGCAGTCAACAGCAGTGAACTGATCATGCAGCTGCAATGACCCAAGCATGGGAAAGGCAGAACCAAATAGGCATGCATGGAGGGACTCAAAAGAACCCCACATATGTCTAACACAGGGACACCTCTCACCACTCAAGTATGCGGAGATGGGGGAACTTGCGCCAAGCCCCAAGGACTGTCTGCCAGCCAGGATGAACCCAGAACCTTGGAATGCAACCACAGGGATGGTAAAACCAAACTGAAATGAAGCTGGGCCCATAACCGTAGCAGAACCAGGTCAAGGTGGTGGTACGGACACAGGGCCTCCCCCGAGCAATCACCAAGGAACTCGGGAAGAAGGAACCTCTAAAAGGACCACACCGAAGAGCCCAAAAGCACTTGGAAACATACCCTGGGTGGAGCCACACCTGAAATAATTGAGGGAGGGAGGGAGGGAGGGAAGAGGGAAAAAGGGCAAACTACACCCACCAGGGAAGGATGTTACATATTACATTCCACCAGGGAGGAATGTTATGTGTGGATGGAACCATGGTTGAAGTAACTAACACCCCCAAATCCAAGACCCTAATACCAAGCAGGGCAAATCCGGGGCATCCAGCTGGGCACATAACCTAGACCGCTGCAAAACTGAAAACCTTTAGTGCACAGTGGTCGCTACCTGAAACCTCTTAACTTCTGGCGGTAAATGGGTGAGAAGAGACATATGAGAAGGGAGGGGGGGACAGGTCCCACATGACTCACAGTCGAAGGTGTCACCAACCCAACAGGCAGCAAAGATGGAGAAAGTATGTATGATCGTCGCCAGGTGGCACAGACGACGAGCAACCTGTGAATTTGCAAGAAGTGAGAGCAGCCTCGGAAGAGGTATCCATAATACAGTACATCCAAACCTGCAGAGGTTTTCCAGGGCCTGTAGGGTGAATGATGTCTGTAGGAAGCCCAGGCAAATTGGAATGCTCCGCCGGTCTTGAACCTTCCGGAAAAGCAACTTTAGGTGCCCGAAGCCAATGGAAATGTCAAGGAAGCAACAAAGGGGGGGGTTTAACCGCAGAAAAACCTGGTGACCGGCCCAGCCGGCCACCAAGGGGCCACTAGAATGACTCTCCCATGGTAAGACTCTCCCACGGTAAGACTCCATCCAAGCCAGAACCCGAAGCAACAGCTTGACCGGGAAAAGTAGGTACAGGTAACCCCACCTCGACCATCCTGCCGAATGAAGTGGGGTCCAGGGGTCCCCCTCCCCCTCCCAGGATGGGGGGGGGGGCTGCACGGATGAGTGGCGCAGCAGAGTGAGTGACGTTTGCTTGTTTTAGTTTGGGAGTTCTGCCTCCCTGTTCAGTTTTAGGTAGCAATTTTTACCATGTGGGGTTTGTTTTGTTATGCCTACCTTTCTGGGTGTCAAACCCTGGTCGATGGCAGACATGGAATACTTCCAAACACATGGGGGTTTCCACAGGCCATTGCTCCTCATGCCTCTCTGAGGGGGGCCAAGTTCTGGCTTGTGGTCCTCGGTAGGCCTATGATCTCCATTCACACTGACTGATGCCAAAGTCTAATATATTCATATCAGCCTGGATAAGCTCCAGGGAGCCATAGGGGTTGCCCCCAGAAAAAGGTTCACAATGATGGAAGCAGAGTTTTCTGAAGACTTAAATCATGTGAATAAAATGCAAATACAGTGGTACCTTCGTTTATGATCATAATCAGTTCCCAGAGATGCGTCGTCAACCAAAACTAATTTTCCCATAAGAAATAATGTAAATTGAGTTAATCTGTTCCACACCCCCAAAAATATTAACGTAAAAATACATTTTATACAGAATACTACTCATATTTTTCATACACAAAACAATCAGGTACAGTATACATATAAACCATAAATACACTAAGTGAACATTTAACTGCACTTTACCTTTACTGAGGACTCTTGTTGGCGTATGGGAGACGTTGAGGAGGGAGGGAGGGAGGAGCGGTGTTGGTGTATGGGGAGGGTGAGGAGGTGGAGGAGGAAGGAGTTGATGAAACCTGCTCGCTTTAAGCACTTTCATATCTGCATTACTGGTTCCAAATTTTCCTTTCAAACATTTCACTGTTTCTGTTATGTGGCAGCCAGTCAAAACCAGTCACAGTCACAAGTCAGTCAAACATTTCAAGCATTCACAATTATGGTAGCAACCGGTTAGGCATTTACCGTCATTCAGCCACTTACAGTCAATCAGGATTTCACAGTCAGTAAACAACAAGCATTTAATATCAAGCAGTCTGCCTCCGATCCACCAGGTGATAGCAAGGAAGCGTTCTGTATTAATAAGATCCAGATGTGGCTGGAAGGGAACAGCTTGGGGAGGGGGTGGTGAGAGGATGGAGGTAGCGGGGAGGGTCCAGTGAGAGGATGGGGGGTAGTGAGGAGAGGGTGTTGTTGGGGATGGAGATAGTAGGGAGGGTCCAGCAGGATGGGGGGTAGCAGGGAGGGTGTGGTGTGGGGGATGGAGGTTCTCCGCACCAACCATCCAGTCCCCCCCCTATCCATCCATCCATCCACCCCCCCTATCCATCGATCCAGTTCCCCCACCATCCCTCCATCCAGTTCCTCCACCATCCATCCAGTCCCCCTCCACCATCCACCCCCCCTATCCATCAATCCAGTTCCCCCACCATCCCTCCATCCAGTTCCTCCACCATCCATCCAGTCCCCCTCCACCATCCACTCCCCCTATCCATCCATCTAGTTTCTCCCTTCATCCATCCAGTTTCTCCACCATCCATCCATCCAGTCCCCCTTCACCATCCATCCAGTCCCCTTCACCATCCATCCAGTTCACCCATCATCCAGTTCCTCCACTATCCATCCAGTCCCCCCACCATCCATCCAGTCCCCTTTCACCATCCATCCAGTCCCCCCACCATACATCCAGTCGCCCCACCATCCATCCAGTCCCCTTTCACCATCCATTCATCCACCCCCTATTCATCCATCCAGTTGCCCCCCTTCCATCCATCCAGTTCCCCCACTATCCATCCATCCAATCTCACTATCCATCCAGTCCCCCTTCACCATCCCTCCAGTTTCCCTACCATCCATCCATCCAGTCCCCCTTCACCATCCACCCATCCAGTCCCCCTTCACCATCCATCCATCGAGTCCCCCTTTACCATCCATCCATCCAGTCCCCCTTCACCATCCACCCATCCAGTCCCCCTTCACCATCCATCCATCCAGTCCCCCTTTACCATCCATCCATCCAGTCCCCCTTTACCATCCACCCATCCAGTCCCCCTTCACCATCCATCCATCCAGTCCCCCTTCACCATCCATCCATCCACCCCCTATCCATCTCACCATTCATCTTGGGACCCATGGCATGATATATAATAAGAACGTTTATGTTAAAGCAGACATAATGAAATTTTTCACAAAGAATTCAAAGCATGGCCACGGTCGTCACTACACGTGATAGACTTGTAAACAAACTGAGAACGCCTCACCTCCAGCACCACGTGCTCGTTCGATCCATACGCATGTGAACAGATGTTGTCTTCCAAGTAAACCGTCGTGTCCTAATTCAAATTTTACAACGAATTTGACATCGTGTTCCAAAAAATTTGTTTTCTAGGGCAGTCGTCAACTGACGTTCCATTGTAATCTGTTCCACAACCCCAAAAATATTAACTATAAAATACATTTTATACAAACTAATACTCTTCCTTACCTCTATGGAGGACTCTTGTTGGCATATGAAAGACAATGAGGAGGGGAAGGAGGAGAGGTGTTAGTGTTTAGAAGGGGAGTCCCCTTCCATTATAACAGCAGTGATGACATTTGTGAGGTACTCTCTCTCTTACATTTGCAGGCATACCACTAGGACCTGGTTGTGGTTCACTGCTTGCTTGTCTTACTAAGAATCTGTCTATAGACACTTGTTCTTCCCTACATTTTAACACTTGTCTGTAGTGAGACATCATATTGTCTCACTATGAATGATCTCTTGTTTTTCCTCTATCGTCATCCTCACAACTATTTTCTTCGGCTGAACTTTACCACTGACTTTCTTAGGACCCATGGCACGATATATAACAAGAACTTTTATGTTCAGAAACCAAAAAAGCACAAAAACAATGAAATTCTTCAAAAAGAATCCAAGCACGATCATCACTAGGCAGGAGACACTGGTAAACTGAATGCCACACTTGCGGTGGACCCGTACGTGTATAAACAAACTACTACTACCGAATCGAATTTCTCGTAGAAATTTACTACAAGAATCGAAAACTACAAGAACAGGGGCATACGAGAACTGAGGTTCCACTGTACCTGTACAGTACTTTATAACTTGAAAGACATTTACCATACACCATACAACTTTTCTTTAGTTATATTGGGAAGATTCACATATATTATAATTCTTGAATAATAGCAAACTATGCAAAAAATATTACAGCTAGATTACCTGCATGTCCACAGCCTTGCCAGAATCTTTAGGACCTTTGGTCCACTCCCACTCTTCAATACCATGATCATCAGTGCTGGTGTTCCCATACAAGATTATTTCTGTCTGAAATAACATGATAATGGAATCAAAACATTTTCTTCAATTAGTAATTAAGGCACATTGTATTAATACATTTACAACATCATGTAAAATATTACATATTTAGAGTTTGAATCTCAAAGTGTAGCTATCATTAAAATTTACATCCCTGTATATGCACAATAAGAAACAACATTATTTTACTGTTTTATTCTTTTGAAAAGGTAGAACTGCATTGAAAAGTATTACAATATTATGTATTTACCCTTATTTTGGTTTAGACAGTGCTCATTATTTCTTCTGACATTCATCAGCATTAGCTTTTGATGGGAGCTCGACCAAATAAACAATATGTTTTCATTTTTCATATGACATATTCTAACGTAAATGAAAACCAAAATAAATATATACAGTACAGTGAAAAGCTTCATGTTGGTCTAGGTCAGTTCTAAAATCATCATATGAGGAGACCAGGATCAGAAGGCAGTCTGACTCCAAATTATTTTGTGGCTCCTGTCGGAAAATCCGACACCATATAATATATCATACAGATAATAGCTGCTGTATTACCAACAAGTTACCCATAGAAAACGTAACTTGTAGTGGAATTACCGTCTAAAGAAAACGGGATATCATCACCACATACCATTATAAATTGACCAGCTATTCTGCTGGGAATTATTCTTAAATACATTAGTCTTTGGACTTTACCATCACAAAACATCTCATATAAATTAACTTAATTATCAATATTAAAGTAGAGTAAATGTGACCCTTCTATCACTTTCTGAAATCTGGACAAAGTAGGCCAGGCGTCAGAGTGAGGAAGGAGGGCGGCCATTGTTGTGTCACCTCCGAGACGTGTGGAGCAAATTTGGCTCCTATCATTCTGGACAATGTCGGCCAGACGTCAATAGAATGGAGTGTTAGATGCAGCCATTGTTTATATTGAGACCAGAGGCTCACACGGGAGCAAATTCGGCTCCTGTTAAATTTACTTGGACGTAGTGTTATGGAACCCAAAGGTGTACCATTGTCAACACGCTGTCTACAAATTCAAGTTAAGTGTCTATCCGAAACCCGTTTATCATTCATTTATGGCCATTAATGTCAGGATATAGGGTTAGCCGGTTAGATCGCGAAATCGCCTCAAACTAAAGGTAATTAAGCCAGGTCTTTAATGTTCCATGTACTGTATAGTGTTTTCTCTGATATAGCTTGTCATATATAGGATTCTGGCTTCACAGCTAGCGCACTTTTGACAGGTCAAGACGAGGATGCAAGATTATGTGCACCAGTTACTGGGTGATATGGAAGCTACCTCAAAGAGGATAATTTGGTGTCTACACCCTAGTTATACCTGGTGGACTAACCTGCTGTACTATAAGATAAGGAACCTCTTCAATGTATGTAGTTACTGTAGTTTGATTGGCTGCATATATATAACTAATAAACCCCCCTTAATGTGTAGAGGATCGATTTGTGAGATTGAGATTATTGCAGAAATACAGTCCACTTATCATTATACAAATTGCTATCGAAGTATATAAATTAACGTAAATATAAATTCATATAAGTTAAATAAATATAAATCTCACAGGTCGGTTCCCACATTATTTGGACCTTCGGAACCGGAATATTCGGTCCTATGAACCCACATTTGGTCATCTTAGCACCGGATGAACCAGTTAACCAGTGGATTCATTAAATATACTAGTGCAGTGTTATTTAAACAAAGGCCAGCCAGTCAAAGACGGAAGCGTAGCCTCGAGGGAGCTCAGGAGCCTCCCTCAGCCCAGTTCAGCTTCGTCAGCGGTTTCATGCACACCCACAGATATTTGGTGGCGTGTTATTTCGTGAAATGACAGCGCTAATATAGAATCCAGCCAAATTAGTGACTGTGTCTTCGCGAGATTGTTCACGGATTTCGTGGTGTTACATTTCGCGAGAGATTATCTACGAATTTTGTGGACTTTATTTCGCGAGGTCACTAATAATATTTAATACTTCTAGATAATATTAGAAGTTTCATAGAGGCTAATTAAGAGGCTATTATCAATAATTGTGTATATTATTTCTCCAAAATAGAGAATTATTTAATATATATTGCACTAGTGATCACAGTATAATATTTACTAATTGCCAACCCACAACAGGGTAGGATATTAACACTGACTAGTTGAACTATTATCGTTCATCCTTGTCCCATTATTACCATAGTCAGTTGTACTATATTGAATAACCTAACACCATTAATGAATGGTCCAGACCCTATTTTGGGTGTAATTTTTATTAACTCGAATTGAGTTGTATATATAATAATTTACTTATGATCATTACACCTTTGAGTGATTAATTAGTGTCAATTCCATCCTAGGGTGATATAGAAGAGCTAACCTAAAGGTACTTCCAGTGACACTGGTTTATCACTCAAATCATTAGTGTGTATGATTGTATATATATAATGTGTATTAATTTTAAGTGCTAACCTCTAGTAGAGGTAGGATTATTGCCTAGTGAGTGCAGAATTTACCCTAGGCTATCATTAGAGTTTGTTCAGTATTATGAGCAGCCCAAGTACAAGCCCCACAAGGCTTCACCAACGAGCCAGTATGGATAATGCAGGGAGAATGAAAAGAACCCTTGCAGGTCTTAAAGGCCACTTAACAAGACAGATCAAGAAATGTGAAGATTTGTCACAACAATCAACAGTTGATTATGCTGACCTGGAAAGCTATTATCAAGCAGCTGCAGGTAAATTTGAGCAAATCAAATGTCAAATAGCAACATATGTGGCTGAACTTGCCAACACTAATTTATCAGAAACAGAAATAGACGACATTATGGTTGATCTTGCGAATTATGAAGATCACACTCAGGCCACGTTACAGCCTTATGTCAAATTAATTGCCCAGAACAAGGCAACAGCAACAACAACAACAGTTGCATCTAATACGAGTCAAGCAGAAGCTCGACTCCCTCCAATTAATTTACCCACTTTCTCAGGAAAAGATGAGGAAGATTGGGACGAATTTTGGAACAAATTCGTTGACCTTGTAGACTCAAAACAATCTTTACCAAAGAGTAGTAAATTCTCTTATTTGCAAGGCCAATTATCAGGTGAGGCTAAAACAGTAGTATCCCATCTGAGATTAACTAATGACGGCTATGATCTGGCAGTAAAACTCCTCAAGGATAATTATGCTGATCCAGAAGTAAGAACATCACATTTAGTTCATGAGCTGTTGCATTTACCCCCACCGGAGGCTTCAGCTGATTCACTCCAAGTCTTCAAGCTGGAGGTAGAATCATTGATCAATGCCCTCAGCCTGACAGCAGATACAAACGGGGCTGAGTGGGTCTTGAAAATAATTGTCCAGGAGAAAATACCTAGGGACATATTGAGACAAATGAGTGCTCATTACAATAAAAGTATCTTATCCATGAATGAAATATCTGAAGGTTTAAAGTCAGTAGTTCATCAATTACGAACACATGACAAATTAAAACCACCAAGTAAACCCTCAGAAACCAATAATAGTAAACCACAGAGTACCAAAGGTACTCCAAATCAATCTAGACAATATAATTCAACACCAAAGTGGAACAGTAGCAGTGTGGGCGTATATGCAGTGGGACCCTCCAAGCCTATAGTTACTGTGTCACCCAAGAACGTGACACCAAAGGGTACTGGAAGCTATGGAACATGTTTGTTCTGCAAGAGAAACATTCAATGTACCACTGCTCTAATTATCCTGATAGTGACGCCCGTGTTGAGCGACTCAAAGATTTGCAACATTGCACGAGGTGCCTCAGGAAACATAACATCAACGACTGTGATACCCAATTACACACCTGTAATAGGTGTAACAAAGGTCAGCACCATGCAGCATTGTGCAGAGACACCAAAACAACGTCTCCAAACCCCAAGGTGGAAGATAGCATTCCCACCACAGTACAGTACTGCAAGGTGCAACAAACAAAGAGTGTCCAATCGGCAAAGTCTAAAGGTAATACGACTTTGCCTACTGCCCAAATTACCATCCTGAATAAGAGGGCCAAGGTCCATACCCGTGGGTTGTTTGACCAAGGATCCCAGAGAACATATATCACTAAAAAGCTGGCAGATGAACTACAATTAAGGCCTGTAGCCCAGATGTCATTCAACATCTCAGGGTTTGTAACAGATGCAGGACCTCAAGTCTACCAGGTGGTACAACCATCAGTACGTTTAGGCAGGTACATCTGTCGAGTACAAGCCATTGTGGTGGACAAAATACCAGTAGACCTACAAGTACAAGGTCTGAGAGCAACAGCCAAATTCCTGAGAAATAGAGGAATAAAATTGGCAGATAATATTAAGTCTGATCACCTCACCGACTTCGGTCTCCTTGTAGGGACAGACTATTGTCATCGATTCATTGGTAGCCCTACTAAATATCAGGGTATAACCATGTTAAACTCTGCAGGAGGTAAATTACTCTCAGGCCCAGTATCAAGCCTGAGGAGACCTATGCCTGCAGATAAACAATACCAGTAGAAATCTAAATTTGTCAGCTGATTATATTTCTCCAGTAGCATTATACTAAGGAGATTACAGCTGACTATACCAACAGAGGTTGATGTTAGTATCATCATTTAAAGCTGGAGATGAGTTCATGAGGCCTCAGTGGCAAATCAGTGAACAGTAGCCTAAAACAGCTACAAGTCACTGCGACCAATGTCACTGAACCCACTGCAATCTCAGAACCATACTTTACTTTAATGATGAGCTATTCAATCTTCTGAATCAATTAACTAAATTAAACCCCAATAAATCTGATGACTGATTTGATACATTTATTATTTAATCAAGATGTATTCCATGGGCCTCAGTGTTTATATATCAGTGACCAGTTACCTGAAGAAACTTCAAGTTATATCTATGTCACTGATCTCACTGCAGTTCCTGAATCATACTTGACTGTAGTACTTGATCACATTCAGTCTTCTGGGTTAAATAATATGTAATAAGGCTTGAATAT